CGCGCGCATCATCATGTATCTTCCTCTCTCTTTTACTCTTCCTTTTGGCCGCTTGGCCGGCCGGTCGGTTGGTCGGTATTATTTCTGCAGCGGCATTCCACTGGATCGATCCCTCGCGTATCATCGGTACTCGGACAACAGGAAGAAACCCGCACGACAGCGGATAGCGAGACGCGCGATGAGAGAGTCGGGACGCGATTCGATCGGAATTACGTTGCCGGGCCCCGCGAGAATTTCGGCGCGACAGCTAGAGGACACCGTCGAAGAGGCCGCGACGCGACACTCGCACGTTCGACGATCATTTCTCCTCCCGGCTTCGTCGTCGTCGTCGTCGTTGTCCACGTCGCGTTTATCAGACCGATCGAATTCTTCGCGTCATTCCTCGCGCCCAGCCGACAGACTGCAATTTCCTCTAAGCAGCCTGTATTTCGACGTCATCTATCGCGATCGGGAATCTTGGTGTGGCGTCGTCACCAATTAATAATTACGACATTGTCGCCGCTCGCTAAACGCTTTAATCAATGTCATCGGGCCAATTTCCGATCACCGTTGGCTCCCGTCCCATCCCCGTTCCCTCCTCCGCCGTCTACCTTCCTCTCGTCCGCTGCTTTTCTCTCTCTCTCTCTCGCGCGCGCGCGCGCGCGCCTATCAGGGCGGCTCCTCTGCAGGAAATTACGTGGGTACACGATCGAAACGCAGGCGGAAGTCGCAATTTATCAGTTTCCAGGCTGGACGCGCCGCCGGAGATCGCGATTCCGATTCTCCTCCTCCTCCTCCTCGTCCTCCTCCTCCTCGCCTCACCTCTCCGCCGCCGCATTGAACGTGGACCGGCCTTAATGACGCTTGAAAATCGATCGCCTCGATCTCGCGCGACTCACACTGTCACTCGTCACTCAGTCACGCTCCGCTAATTGCGAGATATTTATCTCCCTCCTTTCCTCCCTCCCTCTTTCCCCTCTCTTTCTCTCTCTCTCTCTCTCTCTCTCTCTCTCTCTCTCTCTCTCTCTCTCTCTCTCTCTCTCTCTCCCTCCCCCACTCTTTCTCTCGCATACTTCTTTTTATCCAGGGCGTCTTGGACGAAGCTACTCGCGGCTTCCACAAGTCGCACGACGGTCTCGGGTTCGACGCAGCATCCACCGCCGCAGCTGGTAATCGTGATCTCCTCGGATCATCGGGCGATTAATTGTATCGCGGCAAAATTAGCGACGACTCTCACAACGACAACGAACGCGATGCGGACGAGCGTCGGTCACGATGTTCCAAGTCGTCGCACGATGATCGACTGTCAATCGGATCGCATTAGCGCGTCGGCCGGCAGCATCGAGAATACGAATAATATTTTAACGGACTTATTCTCTCCCTCTCAGACGCGTCTCGAGAGGACCGGCAGCGTGGAGGAGGGGATGGGAGGGGGTATAACCGCGACGTATTCAAGCGGCCGATGTTATTCCAGTCTCGCCCGAACGCGGAGGAACGATCGGCTGATAACATCCTTGCGCCGTTGGCGGAGAGATATGGCGGAAAGGGGGGGGAGGGAAAAAGAAAGAAGAATTCCCACACACTCCATGCGCGCGCATACATCGAAATATCTGCTGGTTCCGCTGCTTTCGAGTACCCGGTGGGTGCTCGAGTACCTGGCCGGCCGCGGTTATGAATGCGCGGAGGTCTCTTGTGCGATTCTCACGCGAGCGCCGCGATTCAGTACTCCTTCTCTCTTTCACCCCCCCTCTCTCTCTCTCTCTCTCTCTTTCCTTCTCCTTCCCTCTTCCGGCTCTCTCGATACACCTCGGCACGGAATGAAGTCGTATGTGTACGTGGTCATTGTTCCCTTCGGGAAAAATCTCACGGGGGATGATACCGCTTATCGTCTCCGCTTTCCTTCTTTCCTTCTCGAAAGGAGAAGGCTGCAGCGGAAAATCGCCAATACTCCGCCATGGCGTCGATCGTAATCGGCCCAGCGACCGTCTCTCTCTAAAAGAGAGAAAGAGTCTCTCTCTCTCTCTCTTTATCTCCCTCTTTTTCTTCCCGTGCTATAGTTTCTCTAACAAAACGGCTCCAAAACCGACGCTCACTTCGAAGCGATCATTTGTCGAGTAAACGATCCGACAATGACCTGCAGCCGGCGCCCGCCACGTCACTTTGCATCGTCACTGTGCCGCCGTCTCGGCAAGGTGTAAAGATTTTTCACGGAATCTTACACCGTCCGTTTGATACTCGTCCATCGCTCTAGGCCAATTTGCCTCTTTTTTATTCGTTTCGAGCGTTTCCCCTCTCCCCTCCTCAACGCCGCAGAATGGATCTTCTTTCGAAAATTTTAATTTGATCTGCTGAATTTCTTGCACGGCTTTAATCACTAATGGCCTGCCGCGAACGAACATGTCGCGACTTATTCTGCGCTCTCGTGCGAAACTTTGTTGCATTCTTGCGACTTACTTAACGTGTTCTCGCGCGCTCCAAAAGCAGTAAGATTCTTGCCTGGACAGACGCGTCTCCGGACGAATTGGCGCCTATAATCTGACTTAGAAACCGTCTGTCGCCTTTTTGGCGAAAAAAGGGTCGTTTAATTTGCTACTACCTGCCGGTTTTACGACGGGAGAAACTGCGACGGGAGAACAAATATTTTTCCGGGAAAATCGGTCGTTTCTTTTTGTTAGAGAGACAAAAGCACCTTGCTTCATGTTAGAACCTGCATCTCGGTGTTGACTCTTAAACCGGTGTTGATTCCTAAACCGATTAGAAAGAAAGGAAAAAGATTTGGCTGGCTATGTCTTTCGCCTCACGCAAATCGGTTCCGTGATACTTCTTCCTTCGCGTAGAAATGATTCTGTGTCGATCGCACGATGAACGCGATCATTGTGCACGTAATTACGTTCTAGATTTGACCGGAAATCGCACGCCCTGCTGTCGACTCGTGCGAAACTTTTACGTAACCACGTCGAAGGTTGTCTCGGAAAAACGAAGCGCGTTGTTGGGATTCGCGAATTTTCCAGCAGGTACCAGTAGCTTCTCGTTTCAGTTTTTCACCTCGAGCATAGAGAGTTATTGTTACACTAAGAACAATTGAAACTACATCCTTAATTGCTAACTCTACCATCAGAACTCAATTCCAATAAAAAAGAGAAATGTTATAGGGCCTTTATTTATTTTGATTTCCAATTCCTACGTTGTTCCTTCGTTTTGATTACTTTTAATTATCGATGTTCTTTATAAGACTTCTATCGTGCCTTAGAAATTTCTCAAAGAATCAGGCGTTGAGAAATAGGACTGATGTTTCAAGCAGCGTTATGGCCTGCGGCACTCGCGCGAAATTTACATTGGATTTTAAAGTCGATATATTCACACAGTTGTGCAGGGTATGTCACTGATCACTGATTAAGAGCATAATTACCGATTTATATTCATGAGTCATTATGCAGCTGTTTAGATAAACATTACTCGTTGTATGAAATACGCAGTAAATAACATTAATGAGTTTACAGCGAATCTGTAATTATTTATCGGACGATGATACAGTCCGCCATTGTTTGACTAATTCCAGCCTAAATTTCGATTCGACGATTGTCTCACTCTCGCTAAGTCCGTCGAGCGTTAGCGACACTGCCATTGACATTCGCGATTTGATCGCGGAGAAACAGGTGTTAATAAACGCGATGCGATGCCGACGAGAATCCGATTAAATATTTTCAGATCCAACGGGAATTAATAATAACTCATTTGCCGATACGCGCGTACTCCACGTCGCGGCGCGTGTATGTCGCTCGTCAGCTGGAAACGCGGTGATCGGACACGAAAGTGACGTCCGCGAGGAACAATTGGCGCAAACAATTGGCGGAAAAACTAGTCTCTGCCTGCCGATCGCCTACGTCAACAAAAACATGCGTATAGTCTCGATGGCCGCGAGAGTACAACAATCCAAATATTCCGGACCTTCGAGACAATCCACGTTATCAGGACCGTCACTAGCGCGGTACATATCGCAAGTGCCCGAGTTCATAAATTGGAACGTTACTTTCGCGAGAGTGCTGATTGGCACCCTTAATAACACTCCGTGTTTACGGCTCCTTTATTGGCATCCCTTGTGAATCGCTCAACTTCTGTCGAAATTTTCGACAGAAGACGGTAATAAGCTAATTATATAAAAGGAAAGTTTGTCGTTTATTTTTATCCACCAATCGCGTTACTCGCCTATATTAATTATATAGTATTTGCTTATCGTACACATTTTGCGGTTAAAAAAATTATATAATTAATATACCGGTTGTTGAAATTAAGGGTAAACGTTGTACGTGCAGTTAGAATATTGAGATAGTCGAACGTTAAACAATTCGGAACACCTACATTTATTGAACTGATTACGGCACAGGAAGCCACTCTAGCGGCTTTTTAAAAAGGTCTTGGCTTCTTTTTTTTAAGTTTAGCTCCTTGTTTCTAGACCTCGATACGGGACGAGAAAGAGAGAGAAACCATTAACTAAAATTGCAGCATCAATATACAATAGCCTGTCTAACGTCATACCTCGAGATGTTCCATTCGTCCATTTTGTCGTTGGAATTTACAGGGTTAACGCAAGAACCGCAATTTCGACGTGAGATTTCTACGGTCAGGTCGCACGATGCCGTCGCGCGAGTGACTGTGTTTCGTCTTTTCTTTTCCTACTAAAGTATTACGTTATACTTTTTGGAATGAATCACCTCTCCGCCAGCGCGCATCTGGCGAGTTTAGTCAGCCATCAATCTTAATCACCCGCAACGTGTTGAGAGAAATATGGCCCTCCCAATGCGCGAGAGACTCTTATATAAGAAGAATAATAATGAGGGTCGTAGAACATAGTATCTATCCCGGCGTAATTATGGTACACGACGACCGAGCGTACCGTAATTATGATATCAGTATTTCAGATAGCGCAAGTTTGGAGAGAGAGAGAGAGAGAGAGAGAGAGAGAGAGAGAGAGAGAGAGAGAGAGAGAGAGAGAGAGAGAGAGTGTGTGTGTGTGCGCGCGTATGTGAAAAAGAGAAAGACAGATTTCGATTAGATACAAAGCCGCACTTTTTCCCTTTTTCCGAGAGCGCGAAACTGTGTGAAAGACATTTCAGAGCTTTCTAATCGCTCTGATGAATTCGAGAAAATTCCTCCGCGTCCACGGCGATCGTGCGTCGGTTGCGCATCATCGGGTCAACAGGTTGTTCTTCGGTTGGCCAACTTCCGGTAAGTCTTCTCACGAGGAGAGGGAAGAACCGACGCCTCTCAATTGCGAACGATTTAAGGTCGCCATTGGCCCCGACCTCAGCGGCAGCCCGCAAATGAAAACTTTCCCCATCTTCTTTCGCCAACTTCTGCGAAAGACTTCGCGGTGGAACTTCTTCCTCCTTCTCCTCCTCCTCTTGCTTCTCCTCCTCCTCCTCGTTCTCGTCCTCCTCTTCCTCGTTCGCTTCGTCGACGTTCGTTTCTGCTCGGCTTCTGCTTATTTCCGCGTGCGAATTGCGGTTTGCCGAGCAATCGCGTTCGCGAAGGAAATCTTTCCCGACGGGACTCCGTGCGATAAATTTTACCATAGGCTCGCGTTCAAGCGCGAACCTCCGTACCGCTATTTAGCCGGAATCCTGCGCGATAATACGCGCACACGCGTCAAACTGAAGAGTTTTACTGCCGTAAGCGGTTGCAACGGCCGATTAGTTCGGCATAAACTGCAGGTTGATGCGAATCGCGCAGGGAGACGTAAAGTGTCGCGAGCACGTCGAGTCGACGCGGAAATCTTTCTCTTCGATTGCGTTAAAGGAAGGAAGGAAGGAAGGAAGGAAAGAAACGAGATCTCAAGAATGCAAGCTTGTCTCGCGTCCCGCTGAAAACATTTCAAGGAGTTCGCCGGAGAACTTGAAGAGCGATGAGGAAAAGAGGCGAGGGTGGGAGCGAGCGAGCGGCTCGTCTAATCTGTCGGCGGTAATCAGGACCCGGTATCGATGATGAAGTCTCCGCGGCCTTTGAAGTATGCCGTGTCTCGCGACGGGTGGTGAGAGAGCCAACCGTTCGAATTTCTCGGCGGCCGATCCTGATCCTGCCTGGGCTGATACTGCGCGCATCGCCCCGGCAGACTCGGTGTCTGCCGATGTAAGAATATCTCCTCCACCGAGCGTGTGCTGCTAATTTAGGCAAAGGAGTGTGCGGACTCGCGCTAAGGGCAGGCTTACGGTACTTCGGGTACTGTTCCGCTCATAAGTGTTTGCTTGATTCGCGCACGAAAGATCTGCCGTGATGTCGTGGGAAGAGCGGAACTGGCGAAACGCATTCTTATCTTAGGCTGCGTTCTTCGATATATTGCCAGTGTTAACAATCTGTTGTTTATATTACTGTGGCTCTTCATTCTAGTGACAGCTTTGATAATTAGAGGAAGAGAGAAAGACGCGTCGAAGTCTGAGGCTCGAGTAGTTTAATTGGTAGAACAATCGTCGCGAGTAAGTAGAAAACTCCAAGTTCGATTTTCCTTTTTCTTTCCGCTCTTGCAACAATAAGGCGATGAATATTACCAACTTTTGACTACCATTCTCGAGACATGAGAACAGGAGAAAATATCCGGTAGAAGTTACGTGATGCACAAGGACGTCTAATGACGGTGACGTTTCCTCCTTCGAGGACCTGAAGATCTCCTTCGTTCTTTCGATGGAGTCGTGCATGGTTTTTTCAATGTAAATCGACTTCTCTGATCTCTGATTTGAGAGAATACAAAATACTGGAATGAGATCGTCGAAAAGTGAATGCTTTCCGAGATGTTGAATATTTTATCCTGAAAATTTTCAGTACGAGACATGAAATATCTCATAAAGTCTTTAATAAGCTCGTTTCAATATTTCCACACAAAGAATGATGGCATCGATTGCCGCGGAAAATAAAGAGAGAGACAGAGACACTTTAAAAAAATCTCGTTTATCCTGCCGACAACTTTACGATAAGTTGACGCATCCTTTCATCAGTGCTGCTTCAATTTGCAACGAACGTCACAGTTCCAGCTGCAAGTGACGTGAAATCAAGTATGCCCGTAACTTTACCCTTAACGCTAATAAGCTGTCAATAGGTCTCGTTTGTCTCAAGGCCTGCGGGCAGGAAAGGTGGAGGAAGCGGGGATGATCGTGTTAGACTGTTTCAGGGAAACACGCTTAATGACATCGTCGCGCATCTTCACGCACATATGGCTCTGTTGATAATGTGCCGCAGTTTATCCCGAAAATTTCGCTCGAGTGGTTCGCGACGTAAAGCAGGAACTCGAGATTCGTGTGGAAACCAAATATGTACAAATACCAGCTTTCCTTTTTTTCTACTATTCGGGATTCGGGGTCTCAAACTAATCTATCCTTCCGGAGGAAGAAAATAAATCACTCTGCGAATTCGGCGGAGAGTCGAGGTACGGCGCTCCACTTATCAGGATGCACCTGGTGACGTCACACATGTTCCTAGCTCCGTCGTGTATCCCGCTTCTCTCATTTTTTTGTCTTCGCAGCGTTCGTGTCGCAACGCAGCGTGACGAATCACTTGTATCATTTGAATTCGGTGGAAAATCAGTAAAATCCGGATTCTTCCAAGGACGTGACCAAATCGCAGTTAAAGATAACTGCAGGTAGTAGTCGTAAAACCGTCCATTTAGACACGACTAACGTGACAAGTCTGAAAAATTTTCACAGCGGCTACAAATTGTTTCTCTACCTATCCAACCTAACATTTTTCGGCGTCGCACTTTCCGTCGCCGTTCCATTCTCGCATCCACTCGTTCTTGCCTTCCTAATGGTTTAAAATATTTTCTCGGAGTATCCAACCACGTATCGTCTCAAGGATCGTGTCGCCTACCGTCATCTTCAAGGTCAAAAGAACCAAACTTTTCAGTCTTGACCCTTGACTAATAATCGTTGTCGTTTTAATGATGTCTCGTCTTCAAGCGAAATTTTCCTTTACCTACTCGTCGGTACATCAGAAGGCCATCGGCCGCACCAGGTCACATCGCCGACAGGAAATGTAACGGCTTATAACTAATGCGTATTATCGAGGTCGGTAGTGGCCCTTTTTACGCTCCTTTCTTTTCTTTCATACTTTTCTTCATCTCGACACGCAGGCGCCATTCAACCACTCCGATGCATTGTGAATTGAGAATGAATCTCGCGGTATGTACATGTTGATGCGATTTCAGCAATGTTTTCCAGCTGAACAGGCCTCTCCTTTGATCAGCCAGCATTATGTAGGCCATGTTTCGCGTGTGTCTCTTGTCATGCACTTGTGTGGATTAAACAAACACGTCACGCTCTCGCTGAGGCCCGGGATATTGATCTCGAAATTTATGATCATGGTGGCCGATTAAGAGCGACGCGTGCCGACTTGAGACTCGAAGAACGCCGCAATGTATAGGATAGCCAGTGACTTACTGTTGTTAGCTACCGCACCTTTCGCTGAGAACTTTCATAGGCAACGAAAGGAGTAACAAAAGAGCACAATGGGTAAGACGGGGACAACAAGTCTTCTTAACCGCCGCTATTTTGGTTAAGCGAAGTTAATAAACACCGTCTTTTTTCCACGTCCCCCGATTCAATTCCTTTTCAGCAGTTCGACGCGTCGGCGTAGGGGCCAGGTATGAATTGCATTCACACATAGTTCCCGTTTTGTTCCCGTCGAACAAACGTCCGCTCTCTCTCTCTCTCTCTCTCTTCTTCCGCTCGCGTGGCCGGTTTTTGCAGGATTATCCTACATTCTGCGTGGTCTCTCAAAAAAGATACCTTTCACCCGACTATTCGATTTCATTTTCCACACGATGCTGCTTGTAAAGAACCGGCACGAGAGACACCTGTCGTGCGGCGCACACGCGCGCCTAGGAAAAAAAGGAGTTCAACGACAGGATCTGCATACCGGCAGCCGAGTTTGTAATACGCGAGGACACCCCCAAGTGCGTAAAGCCGCACACACAGCAGTCAGCCGATGATAAAGTTCCGGTCGTCTCCCTCTTGTCTTCCTTCGCGAAGAATTCGCGCCCTCTCTGTCCGATAAGGGAGGATTGGTGTGTTTCTCCATCCATCGTTGGTCTCTCGATAATTCTCGCGAGGCGAAACCCGCCCGTTTTCAACATAATCATTTTTTTTTTACGCGTCGAGAAATTTATTCCCGGCGGGAGAGAGGCGGGCGGGCGGGGGCGGGGAGCGCTAATCGATTTCCGCGCCGAGCCTCGCGCGGCGCCTCGCAATTCGCGCGAGCGCGAGTTTTTGATCCGGCGATCCGGGTATTAGCGTTCTCGTTATCTCGCGCCGATTTCATTTCGCCCGGTCGCCGCGCGGCGGCGGAGGGGGCGAGGGGGTGAGGCAGGCGCGCGTAGATGCGTTTAGATAAAAATAGCCTCGCAAAAGAGAGAGTCGCTTGGCCTGGATCCCCGGAGCGGCGAAACAGTCCTCGGCGCGGCGCATCGCCGCGTTGCGTCGCGCAACCCCGCGACCAGCCCTCCTCGTAAAGCTGCTGCGCGCACCGCTCTCCCCGCCGGCCCTCCCCCCTCCCTCCCCTCCCCCTCCCCCGCTGGCCCGCTCTCGGCCGACAGATATCCGGTGTCGATATCGTATCCGAGCGGAAAACGAAATTTCGAATGGAAAACGCGAGCGGCCGCGATAACGAGTCCCCGTCGATTCCGATCGCGTGCGCGTACAATGAGCCAGTAACTCTCGTCCTCGTATCTCGCTCTCGTCGAGGCAACGAGCGAGGGAGCGAACGGGAGAAGGAGAACGAGAGAGAGAGGAGAGCCAAAGAGAGGGGCAGGAGGGAAACGGACATAAACTGTTGTCCCTCCTACGCCTCCGATCTCTCGTCGCGTCCGTGCCGACCAATGGCCGAGCGCACCCACGCTTCGAACTTCTCTCCCGCGATATCCACGTTTCCGCGGGTCCAGCCGCGCGACAACGACGTCTCGTACCCCCAGGACACGCGGTGCTGGTTCACGTAAGATGCCAGTCAGCGGCTGCACCCTGAAGCGGCTCCTCCGTTGCGAGTCTTTCCTCATCTGCGCACCTGCTCTCGGCCGCCGATCGACCTTCTCCTCGCGATTTGTTGTCCCTCTCTCTTTCTCTCTCTCTCTCTCTCTCTCTTTCTTCCTCGCACGCGCGCACTTTTCTCTTTCATTACATCCGCGCGCGTTTCCAATAGGAATTTCTTGGAACTCCCGCTTATCGAAGGGAGTCGCCGTTGGACAAAAGCGGAGGCGCGCACGAAAGGTTTCGCTCCGCGAAGGTGTCTTCGCGGATGTTTCTTGTTATGGTAGTAAACACTCGTCGAATAATGGTAATTGTGCCGAGATTCGTTACTCAGCGACGCTGACGGTGAGCACAGGCTCTTATTGGCTCGTCAGATGGTAGTAATTGTGTCAAGATTCGCTACTCACTGTCGATGACAGTGAATGCAGGCTCTTACCGGCTTGTTTCTCGTTGCTCGCCGCGATCGAGTATCGATAGAGCCGCTTCCCTCAACTATTTAATTCTCCTTACTCTCTTGATTCCGATTCTCCAGTCGCGAGTTACGCGAGAGGTCTCTCCTTGCGAAATCTCGCTGGAAATCGCCGCCGAGCAATTCCAGGGCGATTGATCGAGCAGCGCGGTTTCAGTCGGTCGACTGAAGCGCGATGTAAAATCAATTCCTCGCGATAATCAACACCTTACAGGCGCGCGTCACTCGCGCGAGTTCAAGTCACTTTCACGCGCGGAACACTTTATTAGATAAAAGTGTCCGCGTGTACAAAGCGGATTGGAAGCCGCTCGATCGATGCGCGAGTACGCGCGGGCTGCATTATGCGGCGGCGAATCGGACGTGCGATACGTTTATTAGGCTAGACAATTGCCGTGCGCGAGCTATTCTCGCTTTCGTCCGTCTGACTGGCGAAGTTTGAAAAGCAGGCAACGCGGTCGCGTATCGACGACGACCGGGAGAAGCGAGGGTACGCATCGATAGAAGCATCTCCGCGCGCAGCATCGCCGCCACCTGAACGGTTAGGGGGATCCGCCGGAAGTGTATTTTTGCCGAAGGGGAAGCGGGAAAGAAGCCGGTTAACGTCGCGACGGGGGGGAAAGCGTGAGAGTCGTCATTCGCGCCGAGGATTCACGCTGTGATCTTAATTAATTGGCACTTTTCCAGCTCACCTCCTCACTCTCGAAATTTACGTCTCGCAGGAAGGCTGTGCGAGAGAACAACAGAGGGTTTGCTTTCGCGCGACGCAAACTGCGCAGCCCGCGTAGTAACAATAATGGTAAAAGGTTGACATATTTTTTTTTCTTTTTTTTATGCGGTTTATGTGGTAACGCGTCATAACGTGTCAATTATGTGGCGAATAGGTGAAATAGGTTGTTTCGGTGATTTTAAATCACTTGTGAGACGAA